GGCTGAGGTGGAAGGATTGCCTGAGCCCAGCAGGTCAAGGCTGCGGTGGCCGAGAGCGGCCACTGCACTCCAGTCTGGGTGATAGAGAGAGACTCCAACTCAAATAAATAAATAAGTAAATAAATATTTAAAAAGTTAGTGGGGCGACAGAGAGAGACTTCAACTCAATAAATAAATAAATATTTAAAAAGTTAGTGGGGCATGGTAGCACATGCCTGTGGTTCCGGCTACTTGGAAGGCTGAGGCTAAAGGATTGCCTGAGCCCAGCAGGTCTAAGCAGGGGCAGCCGTGAGCGTGTCAACTGCACTCCAGCCTGGGTGACGGAGTGAGACTCCAACTAAAAAAAAAACAAAAATTAGCTTGCAATTCCAGTTACTTGGAAGACTAGGAGGTCGAGGTTGCAGTGAGGCATGATTGTGCCACTGCATGCGCCAGCCTGGGCAACAAAATAAAGCCTTGACTAAAAAAAAAGAAAAGTTTACATTAGTGATGTTTTGTCATCAAAGTGGAGACCAAAAAAACGACAGTGCTTTTCCTAACCATGTAAATACCACATACTAATTTGAAACAAACCATAAAGCAAAGCTTATCATTAACACCATGTTAATATTACTTGTTTGATCACTACACAGTTTTTTGTTTTGTCTGTTTTTGAGTCGGGCTCTCATTCTGTTGCTCAAACTGGCATGCAATGGCTTGATCACAGCTTCCTGCAGCCTTGAACTCCTGACCTCAGGCAGTTCATCACCCTCAGCCTCCAGAGTAGCTGTGACTGTTGGGGCTTACCACCACACCTGACTAAATCCTAATTTTTTTTGTAGCAGGAAGGTATCACTATGCGGCCTAGGCTGATGTCAAAATCTCAGACTTATGGGCTCAAGCAATCCTCTAACCTTGACTTCCCAAAGTGTTGGGATTGTAGGAGTGAGCCATCATGCCTAGCCTCAGAAATAGGTTTAATTTTATTTTTTAAGAAGAGTGAGACTTTGAACTGTAATAATGTAAACTATGTCAGAAGTATTTATTTAATTCAATTGTAAATGGATAGTTAGAAGATGAGTTTTGTTTTGTTTTTTGAGTTGGAGTCTCACTCTGTCACCCAGACTGGAGTGCAGTGGCCGCTCTCGGCCACTGCAGCCTCAACCTGCTGGAC